GCATGTTGGTAGGAGCGATTTCAGACGAGACTACCAAGCTGATGGTTTACAATAGTAAGGGGCCCTCCGCAGCGTGGCGTGCACTTGAGCAGACGTTCACCCCATTGACTGGTGGCGAGCAGATTTCGCTTATCGGAAAGTTCTTTACTGCCAGACAAGAGAGAAACCCGGATCCTCAAGTTTTCTTCCAACAGTTCAAGTCTACCGTAACTAGCCTAGAGTTTGCACTCGGCCAGCTCATCCCCAAGATGCTCGTGTACGCCCGATTCCTTGACGCTCTTTCCTCCGAGTACGACGTGCAAAAGCAACAACTGCTCAGCGAGAGAATTCTGGAAGAGGAGGAGATGTTGAGAGTGCTAAGGACCAGGGTTGGGTACTTGAAAAAGGACAATGGGTCAAAGGGGAAGGTTGACGGGCGAGTGCAACATGCGTTCGTAGCAGTCGGGGAGGGGTCTAGGAGGAAACGACGGTCGAGGAAGGAAAACGGAGGGGACGAACAGGCATGCATAGCGAGTGATGGTGGTGCCGCCGAGAAAAAGTCCGTCCACTGCCACATCTGCACCGCAAACCACTATGCCCACGAGTGTCCTCAACAGGTCTGCCAGAGGTGCGGAGGAAGAGGGCACCATGTAAAAAAATGCGCACCGAAAGTGGCGAGTGAGGTTGCTGCGGCCGCGATGGAAGTAGAAGAGTTGGACGTCGCGTACGAAGCGCTTTGAATATTTCGGCGTGTTGTTTTTTCTGTCTCTCAAGACTGCCCTTCCCCTGCGTGTGTGCGGTCGGTTATTCTTTCTGCGAAGCTGCCTCCGAATGCCCGACGATGCAACTGTTGTTAGAATTTGTTGGACGCCATATTTTTCTCCGGGTGTGTATGTCTTGTTTTCCCTGATTTGCTTGCTGCCTCCTTGTGGTTGTAGCTGTTACGCAGGCAGTCTACGAAACTCGACGTCGCTTGTCTGGTCCCCCATGCTCATCTCAGTAGCTCGTCGTACAGGTAGATGCACGAGGCGTCCTTGCATGATGAATATCGATGGTGGTGTGGCATTCTGTTGTTGGCTCATTTTGGTATGGATGACCCGGGGCGCCGCGGTCACACTGATTTGATTGATGATGTCGGAAATATTTTCCAGCCCATACAGTTTGAGGCTGAGATATTTGCTCTGAAGTCAGGGAGGGTTGACGTAGAAAGCTGGGCCCCCTTTTTTTCTCGTGATGAACGGCGACCAGTGTCTCCCATTGTAGCAGTACCAACAAAAAAAAAAGTGGGTTGATGAGCTGTTTTTGGTCGAGATACTGCTTGATCTTTCATTAATGCACAGGTCGAGGGGGGGCACCCTTCCCTGCGATGTGATTTATTGCCCTCTTATATGTCTTTCCGCTGAGAACAGCATAGCGTTGGTTTTCGCTTTCTGTTATGGATCGACAACGGTGCTCAGGGTTGTAGACGAGCCCCGGTGCTGACGGCAACTTGATACAGTGGGATCCTGTTGCTGGGAGGGGACTGCTTGAAAAGGAGTAGTGAAGATGTCTGTAACCAGTGTCTCCCGTAGCGATGTACCAACAAGTTTGCTGAAGAACTGTTTGGGATTGAGTGCTGCTTCGTCTACCTCTGATGTATAGGTTTTGATGGGGGCACCTCTCCCTGCGATTTGGTAGACTGCGCTTTTTTAGACGTCAGTTGGGAGCGATGTAAATTTAGCGTCAGATATTCTTGCGTTTTCCGCTGTGATGAGCAATGTAGCGTCAGATCTTTCGTTTTTCCGCTGCTACTTGGCATTGGTGCTTGGGGCTGTAGGCGAGCCCCGGTGCTAACAGCAACTTGATACAGGAGGGATCTCGTTACTGGGAGGGGGCTACTTGAAGAGGAGTAGCAAATGTCTGATAGATATTTGTGAACGCGGAGGTTTGCAAATTTGGTGACTGCTGTGTTGATTTTGCGTTGACAAGTCATTCAGCAGGATGACCTTGGAGGCGGAGGGTTTTGATCCGGTGGCCGGGTTTCCCTTCGTTTATTTTTTTGCTTTTCTATGAGTACCCTGAATACTTTAGTTTTTGCCAGCATTCGTGACGATGTACAGAATCAGGGAGGGTGTCCGTGAGGTGGATTATGTCATCCTTACGAACGCTACTGCGGTAGTACTGTGTGGTTTGAGAGCGAGAAAGTGTGCAAGTGACCGTTCCACAGGCGTGGATCCTCGGGGTATCTCCCGACGTGTCTTTAGTAATTGGAATTGTTCTGAGTAGCGGAAAGCCTATGCGTCTTTAACCGAAGTTCTTGCGACTGTTGCTTGATGCTTTGTGGCGCATGAGGCGCCCACTCTCTCCTGTTCCTTGCCTACGAGGGCAACCTAATCAACGACTTTACCATCTCTTCATTCCTGTCAACCGGGTCAGCCGTGTTTATCCAGCAGCACTAGGCTAGAAACCAATCAACACCTTCGCCTCGGCTGACTCAACCAACGCCTCTCCCGAAATTTCGGCGTTAAGCGACAGACCTTCCAGCAGCTCTGCCTCCGTCAGGTTTTTCTTGCCTTTAAAGAATAGAGCAGACAAGCATTTGCGGATGTGCACCAGCAGCAACTCGGATATCGACGTAGGCTGCCTTTGCACCACCCGACCTTCGTTGCCTCTCGCCACCACGCGCTTATACTCGGCGTACCGAAGCAGAAACCGCCTCGATGCAGCAGCGGACAGTGTCTTCCCATGTTCGGGCGGCATCTGGGTGGAGCCGAGCATCACCTCGCTCACACTCACCCGAGTGGGACTCGCTTCGCCACCCGCGGCACTGCCGCCGCGCCCAGCACTTCTGCCTCGCCCTGCCATCTCCTGGCCACTCTGCTTGACCAGGACCCTTTCGTTTATCGTCGCAGCTCACCTCACCACAACCGCAGCAGACTCTCACACCGACTTGATGCGAGGTACGTACTCCAGTCCACTGCTGTACACAACTTGAAACCTCCGACCGATCTTCGAAGAAACCGCCAGATTAACTTGTTAATGTGGAACCCTCGTCCAATGGAGGGAGTTCGTTTGTGCTCTGAGGAGCCCTCGTGTTAGTTTCCTAACCTCAGAGATGCAAGACCGTTGGATGACAGGATGACACACCACACAGCTCTACAATATTCAAGCTGACCTCGACGAGGCAAGCCACATGTTCATCGTCGAAGTCACGCCGCATTCCTCTTCATACACGTCGTACACGTCACACGTGAACCGACACTTATTCCTCTAGTCCAGACTAGAACCAATCATGTACGACCTTGTAGACTAATGCCGCAAAAAAATAGTTCTTGCCCTACTATATTCCACAGCAGTGCGTAGCAGCATACGTTTTGCCGCGACGTCCACGACAGCAGAATGTAGATGAGTTTCGATGCGTGACGGTCCAGGTGCTTCGTATTTGCTGCTGTAGTCTGCATGCTTGCACGGAGTAACCACACATACGCGAAAGCAATCCTGCAACCGTTGGCAGGTGCCATTTGGACGTCCACCCGCACATGATCATGATCTTAGTCTAGCTATAGTAGTCTACTTGTACATCCCTCTTGATAATATCACTACCGTGTGTAGGAGGTGCGAGTTCCGCCCGTAGCCATACGAATACCAAATGCATTGATATATTGTAGACACAGGACCGACGAGGATGATATGGCTGATGCCGCTGGAACTGGCATGCACGAACGTTTTTGCGAGCGCCCGAGCGTGCTTGCTACTAGCAGAGGGCATTTCAAAACACGCCCACAGAGACACGGTCGAAAACAAACACGACTTACTTGTTGTTGTTGCTGCTGCTGCTGTCGACCAGTTCTCACTTTCAAAACTGTTCCGATCGCTATTCAGTACCGTACGTTGGAAAGCCTGTGCTGGTCCAACCGACGCGAACATCTGTTGCGGTGACAGTCGAACTACCCCAAAGACGAGGCACCTTTTCAAAAAAATGAAGAAACAAACGCAGTTTTAAACAACACAAATGCGATAAGCAATGTATTTGTTGTGTATTGGCGAAAGAGACTTTTATTCGTTCCTGGCAAAGTGTGGATCATCTGCTTGCCGGGTGATCGGCTGTCGACCAGTTCTCACTTTCAAAATTGTTCCGATCGCTACTCAGTACCGTACGTTGAAGAGCCTGTGCTGGTCCAACCGACGCGAACATCTGTTGCGGTGACAGTCGAACTACCCAAAGAGGCACCTTTTCAAAAAAATGAAGAAAGAAACGGACCACCAGTTTTAATCAACACAAATGCGATAAACAATGTATCTGTTGTGTATTGGCGAAAGAGACTTTTATTCGTTCCTGGCAAAGTGTGGATCATCTGCTTGCCGGGTGATCGGAAAAAGAAAAAGGGAAGAAAGCCGAAGTAGAGTTTGCGATTCCACGAACACCATCCCGATTGCAGTATGTTGAGCGACGGCATCGTCGCGGGTACAGGCCGTCGGCACCTGCATATGCTTGTGGTTACGTGCGGATGTTTGGCATCTGAATTTTTTTGCCCTACGTAGAAAGTACTGCATGAGTCCCACACGCCATCCACCAGTTCTTGAATACCAACAACGTTTCTCTCATTCGAGCTACCGTACAATGCAAGGGTGGGCATGATGCGTTTTCCTCTACAAACCTTCACCGTTGACACTACTGGGCTGTTCTTCTCGACGACGTCGCCACAGCCACTATTCGTTTTGCACAAATTCTCATGAGATGACCCCGCTCTTCATGTAAAAACGACAGTTGCAGTCCAGTGGTTTGCAACGCACCGACATGGACACCATCCGTCCGTCTTTTTTGTCGTCGTCGTCGCCGCTCGTAATGCCAGTACCTCCCTCCCACCAAAACCGGAGAACCGGCCGAATCAATACCACCGGGGGGAGAAGCGGTGCACGACATAGTCGGGGGCTAGTGCCGACCAATCGAACTGCGCCAAGCGCCGTCACCCTCAACGCCCATTAGCCATCGGTGAAGCGAACCACCACGACATTGCACAACACGACGCCTGACCATCGGGATGGAACAGGCCATCGGTGGCGGCGGCGATAATAGCCCTAGCGTCACCGACGCTGCTGCCGCTGCCGTGGCCACCGACGGTGCTGCGGACGAGCCTGAGACTACAGCTCAGACCGAGCGACATTACTTGCCGACCGTAGCGGTCAGCGAAAGCGAATATCCTACCGCCGCCTCCCCAGATCTGGGAACTGGGGCTGGGGACCCGACACCGGCAGCGGTAGCAGCAGCTGAGGGGGAGGCGGCAGCAGCGGCGGGCGAGGCGGATGCAAAGACCCCGGCCGGAGATGGCGGCGGTAGCGGCGAAAGAGAGGCGGTCGGGGGTGCCGTGCTCTCTTGTTCTGATTGTGGTCGTGATGGAGTTAGTGGCAGCGATTGTGGTGGTGACAGTGGTGGTTGTGATGGTGGTGGTGGTGGTGGTGGCGGCGGCTCTGGAGAGAGTGCTGGCTGTGGAGATGGTGCTGGCTGTGGAGATGGTGCTGGCTCTAAAGATGGTGCTGGCGCTGGCTCTGATGAAACTGACGATGACGGCGGAAATAGTGGGGACAATGCCGTTGCTGCCGGGGACGAGGAGAAGGCCACGGACGGCGAGGCGGTCGACCCCGACCCTAGCTCGAAGGACCAGCCCGAGGAGCACCTGTCGACCAAATACACGAAGGAAGAACTGATGGCGAGACACTGGGGCATGAACTTGATGCAGATGAAGCGAGTCAAGGCGCTCCTGAGGATGGGAGTCTGCGAGGAGGACCTCGAAATTGCGGACAGACTGCTAAAGATGGGCCTGTACGTCTATACTTAATCTATCATTTAGCTGTTGTGCGAGCCGCCAGCGGTGGAGTTGGGTTGGTCTCTTGTTGGAGTGATATTTGGCATACAGTACCATGGACCCCCCTGTTGGTCTGGTTATCTGTGTATTCTTTCTCTGTTTATCTGTACTGCCTTCTCTGTCTGTCTGTCTGTCTGTCTGTCTGTCTGTCTGGCTGGCTGGCTGGCTGGCTGGCTGGCTGTCTATCTGTCTGTCTGTCTGTCTGTCCCTCTCTCCCTCCCTCTCTTCGTCCCGCTCCCCCCCTTCCCCCCCACTCGCCGTCTCTTTTTGTCTACTCCCTCTTGCGGTGGTTTTCGTTTCGATTGGTAAGGTTCCAGCGCCGTCTCGGTACACTTGGTGGGGATGTTTCGAATCCCAAAGTGTCCGGATTCGAAGCCCTCCCCCACCCCTTAGATCAATCCCCGCCATGACGTTCCCCTTTCCTCGCCCCCCCCGCGGATGGAGGTCTGTGGACGAACTACAACCAACGGCTATACGTTTTCGTCTCCTTCCCCTCCTCCCTCCCTACCGCTCATCATCGTTCTCACTCTCCGTCACTCCCTCACGCCGCTTTCTCGCGAACGACGCAGGAACTGGTCGAACGACACCCCGCCCACGAAGGAGGAGCAGCTCCTGGGCTACACCTCACAGCAGAGGCAGCGGGTGAAGGCTCTGCACATCTTGGGTCTTACGGAGGAGTCCTTCGACCGCTGCCGGGCGGTCATGCTGAGCTCCCTCGGGCCCTCGGCGTTCGGGTACTCCGCGGACGAGACGGCGGCGTCAGCAGTGAGCGCGGAGGCGGAGGAGGGCTGGACGCCCGGGGACAAGTTCCGGAGAAGAGCGGCCCCGAGCGGCGGCGGTGGCGGCCACCACCACACCGGGATACTAAGGATGCCGACGTTTAGCCACAGCAGGTAAAGTACCATGAATTTCTGATGGGAAGATTTGGAAAGGGATGGTAAGGATGCCGAAGTTTAGCCCCAGCAGGTAAGTTTACCATACCATGGATTTCTGGTGGGGAAGGAGGATGATTGAGTTGGCCCACGGGGCCTGAGTAGTGTGGCGACAAGCCACGGCAAACCTAGAATTTCCAGAAAACGTTTGGGAGGCGCACACTTGACACTCATCTCCGAGGCCTTGATGGGGAGAGCTTGTTGGCTACGGCTTGCTGTGCTGCTTTGAAGCTGCGGTCGTCTTTCAGGTTGAGCGCGTTTGATTCGTCATCGCCTCTGCCGGCAGGCGAGAAAACAGGTGCTGCCCGAATTTTCAGGAGAAACGCACAAAGAAAAACGACGTGTAACCCTATTCCTAGAACTACGTAGTCTAGACTATCCCATTGGGCCCTCCCATTAAGTGCACCTACGCAGAATTTTCGTATCCATCCGCAAATCTCACGATGTGTTGCTTCGAAACACCCTTTGAACATTCTGCGAATACCTCTGCAGTGCATTCGACGGCACGATATTTTCGTCAGATATGGTGATTTCGTTTATCGTCGTTTTCAGGTCGGACTCAACGGAGGGATTTATAACACGTGTACCGAACCTTGCACTATTCATTTAGCATCGACCATTGTTTGTCCCTAGCGGCTGGACCAACTGTGCTTGTAGCGTCGATTGTACCTAGGGGCTGCGGCCAGGAGCACGATACATCACAACAATGCTTACAGCTTTTCACGCCACCAGACTGACCGGCCCCTTGGGGAGTGAGAAGCTCCTGTCTTTGCCAAGCAAGCATCCGACTATTTATTATTGTGGCGGCGATGTTGGTGGTTGCGACGGGGGCTGTGGTTGTCGAAGTACCTTAGATACATCAGGTACGCGAGGGTAAAACGACGACCAAATCGAAAAGCGCCCACGCTGTGAGCAAGGCGGTATTTTCGTCACAAAGTGCCTTCTTATTTTAAACGCACCCACACATGCACCAATCATCGCGCCACTGGAAGTTACCGCAGCGTAGGCAAAGGCTGACTGACCCCAGTCCCGTTCCCTGCCTGTACCCGCCACGCCTCTCTCGCTACGTACACTCAAATCGCGACCCAATCGCGCGACGCCCACAACAACAACAACGCGGCCGACCGCGCTTGCGCTGCTCACACGCGCTTCCACCACTCGGCGTGGTGCACTGACCCGTTCTCGGGCGGCAAAAACGGCTCGCGAAAACAACAAAAACGAAAAAAAACAGTCACAACCATATCTTTCCAGGACACATCGGAGGGCAAGACAACCCCCCAAGAATATTCGCGAGGGGCATCGTGGGCAGCAGTGAGACCAACGCCCGCGGCAACCGCGGCGGGCTGGGGGGGATGGGGATGGCCGGGGGCGATAAAGCGCGGAGAGCGAGCGACTCCGTCACGGGGGGTTACCACCTGCCCGACATTAACGCCGGGAAAAAGAAGCCCAGAGGGATCGGGGGGGGCACCGTGGCGGCGGGATTGCCGCCGCTTGGGTCTGTGGTGGGGTCGTCGCCCGTGTCGACGAGGACCGACCCGGGGTGAAAGACTGGGTTGCTGCTGCTGTTGTGGCACCGATTGCTCGAGCTTGCTTGCCGGGAGCGAGGTTGTTTATATTGTTTTTTAATAATCCCGTGTTCTTTTATGTTTGTCCCGAGATTCATCTTGAGGTTCCATGAACAAGCACGAACGTGGATGAGGCTCGTCGTGAAAAAGGCAGGAACATTCCCATGTATGTATGTAGGGACTCTGAATGAATGAAATGACAGTTATAGCGTTCGTTTGGTTGTTTTTCGAATTTTTTTTAGTGCGGGTGCCGGAGGAGTCGGCTGTGGGGTGCTTCAGTTTTCATGACCGGGGATAGAGAGTAAGGTGGTGAGTGCAGCGCGCAATGAAGTGGGGTCGAGAAAATTGAGTAGATACGCGCGTACGCGTGGTTATGGATTCATTGGTCGGACACTGATGTTCGCCTTCCGATAAGTGTATCTCGCCTCTGAGTCGCCAAACAGAGAAAAGCGCGGCGCGCAAGCTCGATACCCACTCCCGTCGAATTCAAAAACGATGCGGCGACAACAACGGTATCTCAGCATGTGCATAGACTAGTTATTGAGCAAACCCGCGCCATTGACTACTGTACTGTGTCGACGGGTGAGTGCAAGCTGCGTCTCAATTTTGCGAGAGAAGACGCTTTTCATGAATTGCCTACAACCAACGCTTTTCATGCATTTGCCTACAACCACATAGTTTGGTTAGATACGTACTGTCGTCAGGGTGAACTAGAGTAGTACATGCGGCTAAGACACCAGAGAGTCCCCTGAACGGGGTATTGGTTGGTACATATATCTAGATTCGCAGGTCAGGAGTCGTTGTGCTCGAACATCGTTCGTTGCTGTCTGTTTCTACCAGACACACATGCATGTCTTAAGGAGTTTGGTAAGTACGCCACCTCACCAAGGCCAACAGACTCGTTGAATCTACTTACCTGTTGGTCTTACGGTAGAGGGATACCGTAGGTTGCATAGGATACCACACCCGTGTGATAACATTTTCGGGGGGACAAAAGTTATCACACGGGTGTGGTATTCTGTAGGGGGTGTGATATCTTATGTCACCCGTGTGATAAAGTGCACTCACAGAGCCCCACCAACAGGGGGTGTGATAACAATGGGGTGTGATACCGTCGCCCGTGTGATGAAGCGCGCTCACAGGACCCGGCTTACAAGGGGTGTGATAACGGGTGTGATAATAAGGGTGTGTGATGACGAGGGGGTGTGATAACAATCGGGTGGGATAACTTCCCCCGTGTGATGAATCGCGCACGCAGGACCCGGCCTACCGGGGGTGTGATAGCTAATGTCGTCCGTGTGGTTGCAGTGCGCTCACAGGACCCTACCTACGGGGATGTGATCGTAATGTCACCCGAGTGATGCAGCTCAAAGGAGGCACCCACCTACAAAGGGCGTGAAGGGGTGTAAAACAGGTGTGATAGCTAGGGTGGCTCACGCCACTCCATCACGTACATGCTTTCCTACGTGCATTGTCGCAGTATCCTTTGGAAATTCTTCGCATACACAACGAACACGTAGTACCGATGCTTCGTAGCGGTTGTTCCGGTGATGTGTGCGACAAAGCGACAGCACACAGATACCTGGACGACGCAACAACTTGCAAGACTTGCGTTCACCACTCAAGCTGGAACTACATAGGACGCAAGCAAGTGCCAGCTACACATCAACCAAAACTAGGAACAACATCCAACGAGGACAAGCGACTACCGAAACATATGAAACACACGACGAATTGGCTCGAATCGCAGCTTTGGTTAACTTGACCATGGCATGCAACTACGGTAAGTAGATACCAAACAAGACACTCAGTCTATGCAAATAACGTCCGCCCCGGCAAGTCTGCCATGATCTCAACCTCCGGGTCATCGATGCCTTCGCCATCTCCCGTGCTGTCATCGTCGTCGATTTCCAACACCTCCAACAAGTGTGCCATCGGCTCCCCCTCCTCCGATGGGCCAGCCTCCTCCACGCCGGCAGCGGCCGCGTCGCCGTCTGCACGAAGTGGGTTCCCTTGAGCGTCGGAGTTGAGCTCCTTGTTGCCCCACGCCTCGTCTTCAGACCCATCGAAGGCAAGGGTCATGCCAGCCTTCCTCCAGCTCGAACGGATGCTCTCAGGGTCCACTTTATCCCACGCATTCTTCACCCACTGCGCGAGCAATCCCCTCGATGGGGGCTCCGGGTAGCCGCGGTCGTTGCGCACGGCGTCCTTCTTGGGCGTTAGGCCGTCGGGGACGAAAAACAGCGTTGTGTTGGACTTGTCCATCGCTTCCTTGCATAGGGCTGTCTTGTGCACGGTGAAATCGTCCCACGATAGCAGCGTGTCCGGCTGACGATAGTTGCCCAGGACCCCCTCACGACCCGGGCGCCGGTTCTATACTTGGGGGAGCCAAACATGCCTGAATACGCGCTGCGTGTGCCACGCCTTGTCGTGCACGGCGTACACAACGCTCTGAGGGTATGCTACCCCCTTCTTGTCCTTGCCCACCTTAAACTCTCGCTCGACGCTGTTTGCAGCGGGGGGTTTTCCCCGCGCCGTGGGCCTACCCTTGAAGATGAGCAGCGGCGGGAGTTTGCCGCCCTTCATGTTTGCTGCAAGCACGGCAGTAATCCGCAACTTTTCCTTTCCATCGGTTTTGATGGCCACTTTTTCTGACCGGTGTGTTGCGAACGACAAAAATAAAAAGCAAAAAGCAATAGAGACAGCAGAGGCGACGAAAAAAGTTCATTTTGTAGATGAGAATGGCAGCTCTTCACGCTTGTAGTAACATATTGGTTTTGCAGTACAGTGATGATGGAACCGAATGGTGAAAAAATTCTAACGCGGCATTAGCACAATACCAACGTCGTCTAGCCTTACTGGCTGGACACTGAGTAGGTATACGGCAACACATGTGGCATCACAATGCCCACTGTTTGCACGTCATGCCAAGAAACGACAAGACAGGCACGTGATTCAAAGCAACACTATTTGTATTCACCGCCACGGTCGACGTGCCAGCGGCCTCCATCAACACAGCAGTTTCATCCATGCTTTAGTTCTGCTCCTCCTTGAACAACAGAGATGGCTTCGAAGGCGCACTGCTCGCTGCCCCTCCCGTGCCCCGTCCTCCCCCACCGTCGATTCCTCCGTGACGAAGTGCCCTCCATTCCTTGACGGTTTTCATGGCAATCGCAGGCCACCCGGAAGGGAGTTTTTGGCCTTGCCTGGTAACCGCCCGGAATGACAACCGGTTCTTGGAAACCTCCTGCACCATTGTCTGCTTGTTGCGGTACTTTCTACTGCCCTTCAGGTCGTTCGCTGCAGGCCTCGGGCCGAACCAAAGCGAGTTAAGCGATGCCGCCATGTTCTTGATCATCCTTTTAGAGACGCGGGCAGAGATGGCTTCCGAACGAACATCGCTGATCCAGCCGCGAACTTCGAGCTCGGCCTCCGCGTTTGACCGAACCCTCCCCGTGTTAAACGACNACAACCGGTTCTTGGAAACCTCCTGCACCATTGTCTGCTTGTTGCGGTACTTTCTACTGCCCTTCAGGTCGTTCGCTGCAGGCCTCGGGCCGAACCAAAGCGAGTTAAGCGATGCCGCCATGTTCTTGATCATCCTTTTAGAGACGCGGGCAGAGATGGCTTCCGAACGAACATCGCTGATCCAGCCGCGAACTTCGAGCTCGGCCTCCGCGTTTGACCGAACCCTCAGCGTGTTAAACGACTTTACGCTCCGGGCTTTTTGCTTGCCTTTGGCCCCGAGCTGGTCTGCCTTTTCCAGCTGCTTCTCGTATTTCGTTCTGTCTTTTATCCACGCTGAGAGTGCGATCTTCTCGGGAATCCCAAGCACTCGTTGCGCATACGACACACCGATGNTCCGGGCTTTTTGCTTGCCTTTGGCCCCGAGCTGGTCTGCCTTTTCCAGCTGCTTCTCGTATTTCGTTCTGTCTTTTATCCACGCTGAGAGTGCGATCTTCTCGGGAATCCCAAGCACTCGTTGCGCATACGACACACCGATGGTTCCATTAGGCCCCTGCGCTCCCGAGCTTTGTATGGTCGCGTACTTAATGGTGTTTACTCTGAATTCCAAATCGTACCGCTTGCGTTTCTGGCCACCACCAAACTTCATGGGGATGTTCGGTGGCTCCAATTCCAGCGGCTCCCTTTTCGCCTTGCCCTTGCCCTTGCCCTCAGCCGACGTGCCGTCGAGACGCCCACCGAAACCATCTGTCCACTGCTCTGACTCTCCAGGAAACATGGTGTCGCCGACGGGCGCCGCTGCGGCTGCTGTCGTCGGTGCTTCAGGAAGCTGCACGTTCCTGCAAAGCGCATGAGTTCGAGGAAGCAACGAAACATGTAGCATACGTGTCGTTAAGTGCAGTGTCTGTAACAATGCGCTCGCTCCAACGACCATCAGACAAACGTACCAAAAATACGATGGCTAGCGGATAGCTCTGACAACGCCCACCAGGTTGAGAGTCATGGCGTCCACGCTTGCAAGGTACAGAGGGTGAGCAGCTGACGCCACCTATTTCGCATCTCACACAAACAGGCACGAACTACTGTCGAGGTTATGTCTTATTTGCACGTGGTGGGTACGGGTTTCGCAGTCTTCCCACCAAAACATCACAAACACAAACAAAAAGGTATACGGAGACGTGTCGTGTGTGTGAAAGAGAGAGCAAGTGAACATTACGCCTACACACAATGATATATTTGAACTACAAGTCAGTATAATGTGTACATGTCAAAATACAGTGAGGCGAGCGGGACGTCACGACGTGAAAATCACATTATGTTTTCCATCTGGTAAAATCGATCAGGCAATCAGGCGTGTCCTGTTCTTTGGTTTGCTTGAGCCATGAGAATCCTCACAAACACCCATGTGCTGCAAACTGCAAGACGCTCTGCGCACACCTTATGTTGATGTAGACGTCGCCAGACTTCGCATGCCTGCCGCAAAACTCCGGCATATCCTTTCCTGGCTCTGCCCACAAGGGCTTGTTGGTGCACGATGGTTCTCCGCAGCGCGGTGCTGCTGCAGGGTTCTCAGCAGTAGCCGCGCTCAGGGTGTTGGTGATTGGCGAGAGAACTTCCTTTTCGGGTGCGGGTGTGGGTGCTGTGAGACTCTCAACAGTAGCTTCTGCTTCGCGGCTTTCAGCGGCACCCGCGGTGGCAGGCGCAGTCGGTGCTGTGGGGGTCTCAGCAGCGGTAGATTCTGTTGGGCGGGCCTCTGCAGTACGTGCGGTGTCATGCGCGGCTGCTGAGGGAGTCGTCCCCTCAGCCCCACGTTCCCCCGGGGCGGGTTCAAAGAAGGACGCCATGGAGCGTGGGGGCGCCGCTGGAGTCTTACCCACTGCAGTCTGAGCCGCGGAGCTTTCAGCAGGGTTGCAAACTGCACCACCCTGCACGGCATTGTTGGCCTCCATGGCCTTTGCGAGTCGGTTGTTGCTTGTGATCTCATGCCCTCACGTTGCCACACCGTGTGACAAGGGGGCTCACGGAGAGCACACAGGGATGCACTGCTACCCCCCCCCCCCCCCCCCCCCCCCCCCCCCCCCCCCCCCCCCCCCCCCCCCCCCCC